TAGTCATAACATATTTGGAGTAAGTGTACAGTCCAAGTTTCAAACTATATAGTCACAACATATTTGGAGGAAGAGTACAGTCAAAGTATCAAACTATATAGTCATAGCATATTTGGAGTACATGTATGTGTACAGTCCAAGTATCAAACTATATAGTCATAACATATTTGGAGTAAGGGTACTGTCCAAGTATTAAACTATATAGTCACAACATATTTTGAGTAAGTGTACAGTCCAAGTATCAAACTATATAGTCATAGCATATTTGGAGTACATGTATGTGTACAGTCCAAGTATCAAACTATATAGTCATAACATATTTGGAGTAAGGGTACTGTCCAAGTATTAAACTATATAGTCACAACATATTTTGAGTAAGTGTACAGTCCAAGTATCAAACTATATAGTCATAGCATATTTGGAGTATGTGTACAGTCCAAGTATCAAACTATATAGTCATAACATATCTGGAGTAAGTGTACAGTCCAAGTATCAAACTATATAGTCATAACATATTTTGAGTAAGTGTACAGTCCAAGTATCAAACTATATAGTCATAGCATATTTGGAGTACATGTATGTGTACAGTCCAAGTATCAAACTATATAGTCATAACATATTTGGAGTAAGGGTACTGTCCAAGTATCAAACTATATAGTCATAACATATCTGGAGTAAGTGTACAGTCCAAGTATCAAACTATATAGTCATAACATATTTTGAGTAAGTGTACAGTCCAAGTATCAAACTATATAGTCATAGCATATTTGGAGTACATGTATGTGTACAGTCCAAGTATCAAACTATATAGTCATAACATATTTGGAGTAAGGGTACTGTCCAAGTATCAAACTATATAGTCATAACATATTTCGAGTAAGTGTACAGTCCGAGTATCAAACTATATAGTCCCAATATATTTGCAGTAAGTATACGGTCCACGTATCACAGTTTATAGTCATAACATATTTGGAGGAAGTGTACAGTCAAAGTATCAAACTATATACACATAACATAATTGGAGTAATTGTACAGTCTAAGTATCAAACCATATAGTCATAACATATTTGGAGTAAGTGTACAGTCCAAGCATCAAACTATATAGTCATAACATATTTCGAGTAAGTGTACAGTCCGAGTATCAAACTATATAGTCCCAATATATTTGCAGTAGGTATACGGTCCACGTATCACACTAAATAGTCATAACATATTTGAAGTTATTGTACAGTCCAAGTATCAAACTTTATAGTCATAACATATTTGGAGGAAGTGTACAGTCAAAGTATCAAACTATATAGACATAACATATTTGGAGTAAGTGTACAGTCCAAGTATTAAACTAAATAGTCACAACATATTTTGAGTAAGTGTACAGTCCAAGTATCAAACTATATAGTCATAGCATATTTGGAGTATGTGTACAGTCCAAGTATCAAACTATATAGTCATAACATATTTGGAGTAAGTGTACAGTCCAAGTTTCAAACTATATAGTCACAACATATTTGGAGGAAGAGTACAGTCAAAGTATCAAACTATATAGACATAACATATTTGGAGTAAGTGTACAGTCCAAGTATTAAACTATATAGTCACAACATATTTTGAGTAAGTGTACAGTCCAAGTATCAAACTATATAGTCATAGCATATTTGGAGTATGTGTACAGTCCAAGTATCAAACTATATAGTCATAGCATATTTGGAGTATGTGTACAGTCCAAGTATCAAACTATATAGTCATAACATTTTTGGAGTAATTGTACAGTCCGAGTATCAAACTATATAGTCATAGCATATTTGGAGTATGTGTACAGTCCAAGTATCAAACTATATAGTCATAACATATTTGGAGTAAGTGTACAGTCCAAGTTTCAAACTATATAGTCACAACATATTTGCAGTAAGTGTACAGTCCAAGTATCAAACTATATAGTCATAACATATTTGGAGTAAGTGTACAGTCCAAGTATCAAACTATATAGTCATAGCATATTTGGAGTATTTGTACAGTCCAAGTATCAAACTATATAGTCATAACATATTTGGAGTAAGTGTACAGTCCAAGTTTCAAACTATATAGTCACAACATATTTGCAGTATGTGTACAGTCCAAGTATCAAACTATATAGTCATAGCATATTTGGAGTAAGTGTACAGTCCAAGTGTTAAACTATATAGTCACAACATATTTTGAGTAAGTGTACAGTCCAAGTATCAAACTATATAGTCATAACATATTTGGAGTATGTGTACAGTCCAAGTATCAAACTATATAGTCATAACATATTTTGAGTAAGTGTACAGTCCAAGTATCAAACTATATAGTCATAGCATATTTGGAGTATGTGTACAGTCCAAGTATCAAACTATATAGTCATAACATATCTGGAGTAAGTGTACAGTCCAAGTATCAAACTATATAGTCATAGCATATTTGGAGTATGTGTACAGTCCAAGTATCAAACTATATAGTCATAACATATCTGGAGTAAGTGTACAGTCCAAGTATCAAACTATATAGTCATAACACATTTGGAGTAAGTGTACAGTCCAAGCATCAAACTATATAGTCATAACATATTTCGAGTAAGTGTACAGTCCGAGTATCAAACTATATAGTCCCAATATATTTGCAGTAAGTATACGGTCCACGTATCACACTAAATAGTCATAACATATTTGAAGTTATTGTACAGTCCAAGTATCAAACTTTATAGTCATAACATATTTGGAGGAAGAGTACAGTCAAAGTATCAAACTATATAGACATAACATATTTGGAGTAAGTGTACAGTCCAAGTATTAAACTAAATAGTCACAACATATTTTGAGTAAGTGTACAGTCCAAGTATCAAACTATATAGTCATAGCATATTTGGAGTATGTGTACAGTCCAAGTATCAAACTATATAGTCATAACATATTTGGAGTAAGTGTACAGTCCAAGTTTCAAACTATATAGTCACAACATATTTGGAGGAAGAGTACAGTCAAAGTATCAAACTATATAGACATAACATATTTGGAGTAAGTGTACAGTCCAAGTATTAAACTATATAGTCACAACATATTTTGAGTAAGTGTACAGTCCAAGTATCAAACTATATAGTCATAGCATATTTGGAGTATGTGTACAGTCCAAGTATCAAACTATATAGTCATAGCATATTTGGAGTATGTGTACAGTCCAAGTATCAAACTATATAGTCATAACATTTTTGGAGTAATTGTACAGTCCGAGTATCAAACTATATAGTCATAGCATATTTGGAGTATGTGTACAGTCCAAGTATCAAACTATATAGTCATAACATATTTGGAGTAAGTGTACAGTCCAAGTTTCAAACTATATAGTCATAACATATTTGCAGTAAGTGTACAGTCCAAGTATCAAACTATATAGTCATAGCATATTTGGAGTAAGTGTACAGTCCAAGTGTTAAACTATATAGTCACAACATATTTTGAGTAAGTGTACAGTCCAAGTATCAAACTATATAGTCATAACATATTTGGAGTATGTGTACAGTCCAAGTATCAAACTATATAGTCATAACATATTTTGAGTAAGTGTACAGTCCAAGTATCAAACTATATAGTCATAGCATATTTGGAGTATGTGTACAGTCCAAGTATCAAACTATATAGTCATAACATATCTGGAGTAAGTGTACAGTCCAAGTATCAAACTATATAGTCATAACATATTTTGAGTAAGTGTACAGTCCAAGTATCAAACTATATAGTCATAGCATATTTGGAGTACATGTATGTGTACAGTCCAAGTATCAAACTATATAGTCATAACATATTTGGAGTAAGTGTACAGTCCAAGTTTCAAACTATATAGTCACAACATATTTGCAGTAAGTGTACAGTCCAAGTATCAAACTAAATAGTCATAGCATATTTGGAGTAAGTGTACAGTCCGAATATCAAACTATATAGTCACAACATATTTGCAGTAAGTGTACAGTCGAAGCATCAAACTATATAGTCATGATATATTTGGAGTAAGTGTACTGTACAAGTATCAAACTATATAGTCATAACATATTTGCAGTAAGTGTACAGTCCAGGTATGACATCTTTTGCTAACTGGCGAACAGTTATACGTCGGTCTGCCAAAATGGCGGTCTCCACTTGATGGATAGTGTCCTCATCAATGGCTGAATGTGGGCGAATGGCAGCTGTTTCCACAGATGTCCGACCACACTTGAACTGGCGATGCCAGTGTTTAACAATGTCATATGATGGGGTCATCTTCCCCATAAGTTGCTTTCATTTCATCGAAAGTTTCTTTTGGTGTGCGACCTTTCAAATATAAAAACCTAATCACTGCTCGGTATTCTACTGGCTCTATTGTCACACCCTACTCGATCATAACACCTGTAAAAGTGGTAAGATTAATAGTTCGGTGCTGCAAATTCAGACATAACACATAGATACATGTATCATTACACATGTGAAATTTCAACCAAATATGATAGCCCTAAGTGGTTTAGGGGAAATCTTTCATGAACACCCCTCGTATATTATAGTTGTGGATTATGTTTTGGGGTTTTTTTCAACCCGTTTGCATCCAGTAAATCCTGGCCCCTCTGTGGTAGAAAGTGGCTCCGAGATCCAGCTGGGGCCTTTTATTCCTATGTCAAGCTTGATTTTGGATTTTTATGATGACTTATTATGACCTGAAGAGGTTGGTACCTGCCATTTAATGATATGTCCACCACTGTGATTTCGGTTGAAGATGAGATGGGAATGCACTGTTTTTTGTGAAGAAATATTATAATGTGAAATATTATTATAAACTGCAACTATTTTTGTATAAAACAGTTTCAGTTATGCAAGTAAATAGTAAATTTTAAAAGTGTATCTGTACAAAATTGAAAAGATCACCGATATGCCCTGTACCACTGTGAGTGGTGTGATGGTATATAGATTGAAAGATTAATTGATTGAATAATGTGTATAAATATATTCTGTGTGTTTCAGACTGCTTGATACGTGTTTCTTGCCAATCACCTGCTGCAATGCAGTCGATGTTTGATGTCTTTAGGCTTGTGACACTGATAGGATTAGGACAAATTGTTCACGCCCAATCAAGGTACGTGACAAAGCGCTGTGTCTAAATTTTTACTGAAAACACGTGGTGTATTATGGCCACGTGACCAGTTGCACGTGAAAAAACACTTTTGCCACTATAGTGCTGTGCACATGATTTTGATCGATTCACCTGCACAAAAAACGGGTGTTATCTGAAGACACTACGTGGCCATTACTGTTTAAATACACAATAAGGGCCCACAATGATAACTGGTCAAAATGTTAAATTTTAGGATTGTGAAGTTTTTAATTTGGTTCAGTATATATGAATTCCATTAACATGCAATACCACTGGCAGCTAATACACTTCTAGTTCTGCTTGGACTTCAATGTTTTATATTTTTTTAGTAACTTAACGGCAACATTTATATAACATGTGATAAGAATGACGTGAATGAGAAAAACATAAATTCGACTCTGTTAGTAGAATGATATATTACAATTCCTTGTATGAAAATATTTCTTGCAATAAATTTTGGAAATATCACTTTGTCTATTTGATCAGGTTGCATCAACAGATTATCGACAGGTGTATCATCAAGCAACCAGTCACAGATTATATAAATTGATTAACCGAAAAGATATTGAAATAACTTGCGCGGTAATATACTAAACATCATTTAAAAAAAAGGAAATCTTGACAAGAAGTATTTTGAGAGATCAAACGTCGATACAACTTTACCATTGTATGTCTTTTCATTACAAAAGTGTTGTACTAAACTACATCAATTTGTTGTACATTTCAGGACGGACTTTATCAAAGCTCTTCTTGAAGATTATGATAACCGTGTGACCCCAACGTTTGATGAAGGTAATTCCATTCGTCATCACTTACTCCTGTCCGTAAAATATAAGCAGACACGCCCCCTATCGATCAATGTTATGTTTGAAAATACGACAAATCAATCTGAATGGACGTAATTATAGATATGATTTTTATTTGTTTGTTTGTTGTTTAACGCCGCATTTAGCAATATTCCAGCTATGTGACGGTGGTCTGTAAATATTCGAGTCTGGACCAGACAATCCAGTGATTGATGTCATGAGCATCGATCCATGCAATTGGTATACGATGACATGCATGTCTTGAGGCCACACGCCATACCTCATTTAGCACGTCGCCGCAACCACGAGTTTCAGGATGATAACGCCCGTGCCCACACTGCGAGAGCAACAAGAGACTTCCTCAAGCAGAATGGCATCAGAACCATGCAGTGGCCTGTCCTCAGTCCCGATTTAAATCCCATTTAGCACCTGTGGGACGAGATTCAAAGACGGCTGAATGACGTCCGACCAAGGCCGACAACTGCAGCAGAACTGCGTCAGGTGTTCCTCAGAGTGTGGGCTCAAGTGCCTATGGCCTTATCAACCGCCTCATCCATTCCATGTATCGACGTTGAACGGCAGTCAACAATGCACATGGCAGACACACGAGATTCTGACTTGTGATGCCATTTCCTCAGATACTAGTGTTTACAGTGTTTGGACAAATAAGGTTTCTAATATATCTATCCATGGTGACGTTTCTTTTGCGATTCAGTATATTTGGTATGTCCTGAAGCGACGTCATTAAATTGGAAATGCTTATAACGTTGAGGTAGCTGCAACTTTCGGTTTAAAGGTTTTACTTAAATTTGTGTGTGTGTTTTTTTACACGAGGAGGTAATGTTATGCAGAATTGCTTATAACCTTATGTTTTGGATAGATAGACGATGACTGAAATGCACTGCATTGTATGATACACTATTAGGGAGCAATTTGAACATATGTTTGAGATAGTTTAAGATATCAGACTGATGCTTTCATCACACGAAAGCGCTTTTTCTATTAATCCTTTGACCGAAAAGGTGTGCCAGTAATTATGACGGGTTACACCCCGAGGTGTCATTTTGTTTGGGTTGGCCAGGTCCACCAACCAGTCAGCCATATGCTTAGTTCATTTTTATGAAATTGCTGAACTTCAATTTTACTTCCACACTCTTGAGTTAAGTCAATGTGCAAACACAGGAATCAAATCATGTATACTGCTTACAGAGAAAACACGATACTGGCAATTGCTACATCTACGAGAAGCAATTACGAGGAAAGGGTTCTAGTGCACATGAAACATCTAGTTGAAGACCACAAGTAGGATGGTAGTAGTGCTTAATGTAAAAACACATTTCGTATCAATGAATTGTCGAATTAATACAATTTCATTGTGGATTGCTACGATGGAAACACCACTCTTGTTATTACGCTTAAACGGTTTACGATCAGTGTTTACCATTGTACCATGAATATTTCCAAAATGTATTGTGCTGTACATTGACCCGTGTGTGCAAGGACATCTTTAAAGCAATATGTATGACTTATAAATAATAATCATGTACCATTTTTGCATTTCTAGGCACCCCTACTGAGGTCGATGTTTCACTATTCATCAACAACATAGACTCCATCAGTGAACAGACAATGGTAAGTTACAGTTTAAAATTGGTTTTTGTATAGTATTCTTCTGTGTCATGGAATATACAACACCGCTAGTTATGCTGTGTCAAGACTCATTTATTTAGTTCTCACTATCTGACAGACTACAAGTATATACCGATCTGCGTATCTGTCTTTCAGGAATTCAGTCTGAATGCCTTCGTAGTCCAAGAATGGAAAGACAAACGCTTGGAGTTTCTAGGCCTTATAGATGCTGAATACCTGGAATTGGACACGAAATTGATGGATGGTGTGTGGGTGCCAGATCTGTATTTCTCTAACGAAAAGCGAGCGTCCTTCCACTCTGTGACCGTACCCAACAAAATGCTACACTTGTATAGTGACGGCCACGTAGTTTACAAACTAAGGTAGGCATAATATGTTTTGTATTACTATTATGTCGCGGGGACCACAGCATGTCACATAATGTGTAGGTGATTACGTTGACAGATGACAGACACTGTTTGTTAGTTTGAAATCTTACAGGAAGCATTGTGTGGTAGGAATGAATAGATCCGTATGAATGGTGTTCAGAGTTTCAGGACCGCGGTGTGATTTTTACACCACGAGGTTAACATGTTGAGATATGTCAGTAAGGCATGGGCAATGTGAATGTTTTGGGTCATTATCAATGGTATTGTAATTGGTTATGTCATTGAATAATGCTTGGTATCTATTGTTGTAAAATATTGTTAATATAAGCGACAAAACCCTAAAGCCACAAGAAATCTCTGCTAAAAGGAGAGTCGATTTTACTATTCCGACTGTATCATGAGCATGTGTTTATGACTCACCATCAAAAAGTGATGACACCAGGCGTTCGCGAAAAAGGTGAGAGTATCCAATAAAGAATTTCACCTTGATATCAGTTCAATGTTACCATAAGGCAACTCTCTTGAGCCCGGATTCTTGGAAATGGTATTGATGGTATAATCATGTATAATCACTGGTTAACTATCAAGAAACTATGAAAATAAAAGAAAAGTGAATCCCTGCATTCCAGTACTGCATTTTTGCTGACGTTGAGTATTTTCTCCAAGTTCAGAAAACAGGGACTTCCATTACAATTATTTTCTAGACTAAGAGACATTCGTGACAATTCAATACACATTTCCTTGCATTTACCTGTCACACTTGCACATATAGGGTGTCCCTGACGGCGTCATGTCCAATGCAGTTACAAAAGTACCCCATGGATTCACAGATGTGCTCCTTGTTGGTTCAAAGCTGTGAGTATTAGTAATATTACTCTGTTAGACTTGCAGTGTAATATATGAGACATGCGGCATCCAATATCACTGAATATTTGCTGCCAAAAGGTTACTTTTTACGGTGGAAGACAATCTGAATGTTTTCGATTTGATTATGTATTTGTTTGTTTCCAGTCGCCTTTTCAAAGAGAAGTCTAATGTTCAAATGGAAGGATGAGGACCCTGTCAAACGGCGATGGAAACTGCAGTTGCCTCAGTTTAGCTTGAGTGATATAGAAACCCGCAACTGCACAGAGGAGGATGAAAACGGTACGCTTTGCTGTCATGAAGTTAAGCCGAGTCAGCGTGATTGTTTGATATTTGAAACATTTAGAGGTTTTGAATCGCATTTCGAAAACTTTAAATTCTAAAATGTCATTGCGGAATTACTATTTCACTATCTGTTTTAATTTAGAAGACGTTATGACAGAGCTAGCCGTAGGAAGTCCTGATGCTATCATACCAATGAGTACAACTAGTAATTAACCTATAGGCTTTTTTAAAGTGGAACTGCTAAAATGAATTGATGTATTTCAGCGTGATCATTTGTCTGACCGTTCATCCCTTTGACCGTTCCCTGTCCATTCGACTGTTATCTTACGAAACCTTCTCTGAACAAGGTGAAGAGATGTCTAGCACCAGAATAGATCTCAGATGTGTTCAGGATGGTTAAATGAAAATGAAAAGCGACAAAACTAAATCCATAATCAGAAATAATCTCTGCTGAAAGCAGTGTTCTTTTTATGATTCCGACTCAATACACAAAATAAACCAGAGCGACTTTCGTATTGTTTAGATGTACCTACTTTTCAAGATTGTCCGATGTTTCATAACCTCTAGCTTAACAACTGTAGAAAAAATTAGGTACCACCAAAACATCAACTGCATTCAAAAGACAGTCTGCATGTAAGATAATGCCACGCGTTTATCTCTTCTTAACAGATGTCCTTTAGGTTGTTAAAGATTTCAATTTTAATGTCTTCCTCAGAAATTTAATTTTCTGTTATTTAAGGGACGGCACAATAAATTAGTTTTTGCAAGCTTAACATTTATCTTCCATTTGGAATAATCATACAAAGAAAAAAGAAAAAGCTTGGATCCACACTAAGCAGGAACTTGTAAACAGCGTAAATCAAGAACACAATTTGTAACATCAATAAAAGATAACCATTACTTCTACATTTAGCATTTACCGACATTACGAACAGGTTTCAGAAGCTGAGAATCGAGGTCATTTCGGAATTAAGTTTCTCCCAGGAGAGCTCCGTTGTGACCAGTAAAACAAGATTTGATATCATTGAACATATTTTGAATCTGTGTTAACTTTCTTCAAGTACGTCTCTCTGTTTGACTTTAACAGTTAAAACCAAAGTTACAGTTTCGAAAGCCCCGAGATATATTAGTAAATATACAATATATAGTACATGCTAAGTTTGGAAAAATGCTTTAAGAGTCTGCTTGCACGCGTTTTGCTATTTCATTATTATGTACAAACAAAGCAACTACGTCTTACGGCTTAGTATGGTAATAGGTCTGTTTGAGTTGGGATCTCTCGGATTCCCCTTTTTGTAGATTGGACTAAATATTCGTGTTATCCCAGCGTCTGGTACAACACTTAGCGAAAGTCTAAGGTCAAACAACTTTGCATACAGCTGATCAGTAATTTCCAAAGGAATAATAACCTATCTCGTCGTCAGTGTTAATTTGTTTTTATTCTTTGAAAAGGCCATAAACATTGTACTGTTTTACTATATATTATTCAGACAAAGCTTCAAAACTTTCGATAGTGGGCGATGATATAATTGACAAGGGGGATTATTTGTTCTCTTCGAGCCGTCTTGCCATAAGGACTCGTAGACGTACAGGCCTTTCTATTGTAAAGGTTTATGCGTTTATGCTGGTTCATTGCATTCACGACCTTAAAAAGACGCGGTTGATTGGTTGGTTGGTTTGTTGTTTAACGCCGCACTCAGCAATATTCCAGCTATATGACGGCGGTCTGTAAATAATCGAGACTGGACCAGACAATCCAGTGATTGATATCATGAGCATCGATCCACACAATTGGGATCGATGACATGCATCAACCAAGTCAGCGAGCCTGACCACCGTTAGTCGCCTTTTACGACAAGCATAGTCGCCTTTTACGGCAAGCATGGGTTGCTGAAGACCTATTCTACCTAAAAACACACGGTAATTACATTATGGCAACACGGGAGTTTGCCTAATTCAAGTTCTCCTACCAACCCTACGGTTTTGGAAAATAATCCGTAAACCAGTTAGTGAAAAGAAGAGGCCTCAGCAGCATTGTCCCTGAGGGAGTAGTACAGACAGGCATTGCCAGCTGAGCGTGTTGTCTCACATATACACACCAGCGAACATCCAGAGACGCTTTTAAGGCGGAAATCTGGAGAAAGATCTCGTTCCACATGTACTGATTTCCCTAGTCTGGTTTAATCAATGTACTTTTCAAATTGCTATTGCTAATGAATTTTGATGTACAGGTGAGTAGCCATATGCCTGTGGTTCTTTTGTGTACACAAAGTACAGTTTTTGCTTTTAGCCTTCTTTGATTACACTCAATTGCGCTTGCATGGTATGAAACAAATACTGTTTTACTTTTGAAAAAAGATCATCAAGGATATTTTTTTCGAGGAGACGAAAACGATTCCTTGAAGAAGCACATAATCACTCACTGCCAGTGATCAAATTACAATTGTACATAAGGGTATGCATAATCGTATTAGTGGGTGATAAATTTGGTTAGGCGCATTCGATTTTGGATTGAAAGGTACAATATTCTATCACATATTAACATGTCAACAAAAGCTTTCAGATAAATTTTTTCCAAAAGGCTTGATAAATTTCATTTATATTGATTGGTTGAAAGTAATCACCACATTACAATAAACAAAATGTTCAGCCCTTGAGTGTTCCAGCTTCAGCTCCCAAGCTAGCTGTTACAGTGAACCTGGTATGAGGGGGCGAGCAGGCCAAGCACAACTCATATCTCCCTTATTGGAGGTTTACTCTTTTTACGTCTGATAATAGGAAGAGACGGTCCCGTTGGGAAATCAGCAGAATAAGTCAGAGACGCTTCAAATTAAACTGATGTTTGCAATGTTTACATCACACAAGCTCGGAGGTGACAAGGAGGCGCGAATATGGCAACCGCTATTTCATAATATACTGAAACAAGTCGGAATTGCACGTTTATAACACATTTTACAACAATTAATAAGACTTAAGAAGTGAATGTCATAACTTAGTACGCCTGGTTATCCAATATATTCCATCAACTCCTTCGAGGTTTGTGTCTCTTTTTATAGGATGGTATTTATTTGATTTACATATATTTTAAATAACGTTATGACATGGTTCTATTTCGACTTTTTATTGTTTCGTTCGTAAGTCTTTTGTCATGCTAGTTGGTATGAAACTTAAAAAATAGATATACAATATAAAATGAAAATAATTATGGTGAAGTTCTTTATGAACTAAAAATAAGAAGACTTCTAAATCATCAATAACATGACACAATGAGATATGAAGCTTGAAGCTGTTGCAGAGCAGTTGAAATGATTCCTCCAATACACAATGTTAAGGAATACAACATTTGAACGTGTGTGTGTGTTTTGTTTTCATTTCAGGGAATTTTACGTGTATAGCCGTTGACTTCCATCTGCAGAGGAACATTGGTTTCTACATGATACAGATCTACATTCCCAGCATGCTGATCGTACTGCTGTCGTGGGTGTCTTTCTGGCTCAATGTGGACGCTGTCCCTGCACGCATCTCACTCGGCATTCTCACTGTCCTCACCATGACAACACAGAAATCTATGGCCATTTCCTCTCTACCCCGGGTTTCCTATGTGAAAGCGATTGATGTGTGGATGGCAGCCTGTCTTTGTTTTGTATTTGCGTCATTGCTAGAGTTTGCTCTGGTAAATGTCATGGATAGGAGACAGGTGAAGCGCCGACAAGCACCAAAGGACATATCTCTGGATATTGTGGAAAAGTCCCCACTGAGGGTAAACACCATTGTATTGTTGTTTCTGACTGATCAGAGTTACTTCTCAATTTGTATCAAGTATGATTCGTTATCCAGTAATGCTGTTAGAACTGCGTATTTGGGCTTGGCTAATGGTTGCAATAGAAACAACTGGTTTCATATTGTCGCCGACAGATTTAGAATGCGTTCAGCATAAAAGACCATGTAGTAATAATTGAATTAAAAATACGTTTATATCTGATCTGTATGTTAAACTTTTTTGCAGCAAGGAAACAGTGAACCCGTATCCAAGTGGGTCCAAGATCCTTCGGGGGCCGCAAGAGCAAAGAATGTGGACAATGTGTCTCGTGTGTTTTTTCCTGGCGCTTTCATCGTCTTCTGTGCTGTTTACTGGATGGCCTATAGCTTGTAGACGGTACACATTATGAGGTAGTTTCGCATAATTAGAGGCAAGTTACACGACACATTGACTGTTCGTCTCAGCCAGTTGCATCGTTCAGATGTATTGCAGTTTATGTTGTTGTTTTTACTAAATTCGGATCTTATTCACGTATTGAAATATTTCACTTTTATTGCACTGAGGAAATTTTGTTATTCTTCTTAAGTGTATGTACCGAACCGTGGAATAGCCAATGGGTATTTGTTGCTGTAGTGTACACGCAGTGCTCTGTCAGACATGTCAGGACAATATTGATTCACATGCACGGTTATAAATATTGCTATCACTTCAAAGCTTTTTTCTGTTTGACTTTCAAACACTGGGTAATCTATCCAATTTTCCGAATACGCTTTAACGCACACAAATTATAGCTACATCTGTATACTGGATTGTATTTCGTGTTCAAATACGTACTAGGTTTTCAGATAAATGGATGTTATAAACATGTCAGTCTATCTTATATATCATCATGAATTAACAGAGTAATTAAACCCCCTCACACATACAAACGCCTATGCTACTGCGGGCTCATAAATTTGTAATAATTTGAATAAAGTAGATTAATTGCAGAGAAAATCTACTGAAGTGAAATTGTTTATGAATTTTAAAGATAAACATGTAATAAATATACAATATTCATGTCCGTCTCTCGCAAACCAAGTTTTGCTACAATTGACAATTGACAGGTAAACTATCACTATGCAGTGATAAATCGAACACATTCTGAGCTGCAAATAGTAGTTTAACATGTTTACCACACCAGATTACAGTTCACACACACACACACACACACACACACACACACACACACACACACACACACACAGTGGCTTTGCAATGTTAGGTGTTTGTCAATGCATATTGCATTCAGTGAGTGAGTGAAACATCTACTAAATTTATACCAATACAATCGTGTCAACAACAGACAGTAAAACAACCAGTAACATATCTCAGAATTACGTTGCAAATTGGTTGTAGAATTCTAAAATTGGACATTTTACAATAAATCGTATATTTATATACTTATCCTATGTCACACTATGAATTTCTCCTTCTTTCAACCGTGTCTGAAATAAAGGTTTCCAGCTTCTAAAGTTAAGTCACCCGTACATACCTAACATCGCCGTGGTCACCAACCAGATGTTGGTCATGCACGCTTGCACACTTCACACCTACAAGCACTGTTCATATGTCAATCCCAGCCAACTCATTCAACTCAAGAGCGTATAGACTAAGGAATTGTGATGCGTGGATGGACAATTTATTGCAAAATTTCCAAATCTTAAACTTATCCTGTCTCACACTATCGATTTATCCAACAGGTAGAGGGTGGGGCGCAACTCCCTAGTCTGTAAGTCAACAACTGCAGGATACTCAGAAGGAAGCGGGAACTTTACAGTGGTACAATACTTAATAAAGTAACGAAGTTACGTGTCGTAAGAAAAAATCGCGTAGGCAGGAATGGAAAAAACAAAGAGTTTAAGATCCTGATACTTGAACAAACGAAAGTCAATAAGTCAGGTACAATTTGTGTAACATGTCCATACGTGTAAGCAAGCGTATCGTATGTCTAAACAAAACGAGTACAATTTATATTCTAGAAGGGTTGTATCCATTCGTGGAATCTACAAGACGGGATATCCCTATCTCCTTATGACCTCAGGGTCGACCCGCGTGGCATCTCTTTTATCGCTTCGTTGAACCCTCAACCACACTTTGTTGGTAATTGAATCGATGGGCTAGGACGAGAAGAGGAAACGATCGACAATACCCACAAACGGATCATCAATCCACTGCTTAGCACACATACCTGAAATAGAGGTGCGTGAGATAAGGGATCCGGATACCGAGATCGGCCGCGTCTAATGACGACTTCGAGTTGAAGACGGAGGTCTTTAGAGACGACTGATTATATCCTCCAACCGGATACTCATTCTGGGAAGCCCAAATGAATACAATAAACACAAACAATCATGACGAGGTTTATTATAAGTAGAGATTGATGTAATACAACTCTATCTGGGCAGGTGTGTCTTGGAGACTGTTTGCGCGAGCACCGAAGGTCCGATTTTGGAAGGCCTTGAACGTCCGCCTTTGATATGTCTCGGAGGTAATGGGATGTCAATACTGTATCAGATTTCCAGAAATATTCCTCCATAATTGCTCACAAGGAGAAATTATTGTGAAGAGCCATAGTAGAGGTGACAGCAAGGGTTTGATGCGACTGGAGCAGTGAAGGTGTAAGCCCGAGCGTATCCAAAACGATATTGTTGTACGAGATATTTCCGTAGTAGCTGTCGTGGAGAGCGGGATGAATCATCTCTTCCGTAATCGTCGAAGTGCCTTCTCGGCCAGAGGTTTTTGATCAGCCGAAGTTAGATGATCCAAAATGATGTTTTGATCCCAGGTCGGCGGTAGGATCGTGATGACTGGTCTGCCAACTTGTAAGATTGAATCAATGATTGCAGTCTGGCGATTGTAGAAATCTTTGCAGCTGTTGTAGCTGTGTCAGTGGAATTGATCACGGCCATCGCAAAGTATGTAGCTAGAGTAGAACCTTTAAACTTACGAGATGATCAGAGATGATGAAGGTATTCAGCAATTTGTTGAGGAGATGCCATGGCAGGGGTCTACCTCTACAATGGTCTTAGCCAATCGTGAAGAGTATCCCTTGGAAATAACTGGCAAATACACTGGAATATTTTTGGATGTAATTGCCATTCCGTGGGAGATGCTTTGTCCAGTTTGGACATTGGAGATGCCAGGAATATGTTACCCCGAACTTGAATGTTGATGGAGTCGATCAGTTGGATAAAATGTGTGGAGGACTGAAGGAGTGTCAACCAATGAGACACTGCCGGAATCATCGCTTTGTAGGTTGTTGATGTGAAGCTGGCTTTCTTTGAGAGACAACCGCCCTGCACCTGTCGACGAAGAGGTGGAGGATCGGGGTGAATGGCTGCAAGGAGACACCTAACCGCCATTGGAGATGTGGATATAGGTGGTGAGAGATTAGAAACTGACAATCATGTCCTGAAGGTATGGCTTGAGGAAACCCTGGATTGGACGTAGGTGAAGTTGACACCCTCTTGGTGAGGGCCTGTGCCTATGTGCATTGGCGTAAGGGTGGATTGGATGATCCTGGGGTACAAACACCTTGCACGGACTTGTGTTGGAGAGTTGTTGTGTTGGAATCGTTTCGGACTTTTTTGTTTTGATGATCCAACCTAGTTGGTGAAGTAAATGTTGTGTGAAATCGACGTGTCAAAGAAGAGTGTTCAAATCCTCGTTGAATTGAATGCAGTTGCTGGTGAAAGATTCGAATGCCATGCCTCAAATGTTAAGGAATTTGACGATAGGTTTCCTGAGGCTAGTAAATATCCATGAGGCCGAAGAAATTCCAAATGGGAGCGCTCGCCATTGGCCAATGAACACGAACTTTAGAGGTGGTGCTCTGGGAGGATAGGGACGGGTATGCATCTTGTAGATATAGACTGATCATGAAATTGCCGGGATGAAGAATCGTTCGTAGTTTAGCGATTGATGTCATGCAAGTGTGGAAGAGTCTCAAGGCAAAGTTTGCTGAAAATGAGACGAAGTTGAGGACGTTGAAACCTGGTGTCATTAGTTGAGTGACCAGACATTTTACTGCGTTCTTTACAAGCAACTAGCAACTAGGAGCACTGGAAGCTGTTTGTCTGGATATAGAGACTTGGACGTTGTCGGAGGTGTTGTCACGAGAGGTAGAGGATAACCTGTTTGTAAAAGGTCAACCCCGGATGCATGTTTCATAATTCTTCGGGGGAAGAAGCATGAACTAAGGACGATGAAAGCACTTCTATCGCCGATAGAATTTTGAAAATCAAAGGAAGCATGACGGCAAGATGGCGGCAGGCCGAGGTCATATGTGATATCCTCCTTGTTGTGTTGCAATTTATGAAGACGCAAAGACGATCTGAAGTAAATAACACTTTCTAATTTTATAAATAGTGTCAGAGTACACTTCAAAGATACCTTGTGAGCCAATTTCCCGATCCAATCACAGAATTGAGCCATGATGTCGACTCGAGGGGGCCGAGAGACGGGAAACGCTAGTCAACACAAACACAGACAACACAGAAGTGTGAGCGAAAAACGGAAACCTTCGGGATCCCCAACGGATTCAATACCATAAAAAGACCCCGAAACAGATGGTCAAATCTACATTAAATATGACTGATGTGTTTTCGCTTGGAATGAACAGTAGACCAAATACAGCCAAGAAAACAAACAGTATCAGTATCGCGTTGCGATCGGGGTGATCATCTATGTTGTAAAGTCTTCTAACAGGTTGTGTCAGTTGTTTATCTGCCAATCTCCTATCACAAAGTTTCCTTTGAACGAGCTGGACATTATGCATTATATTTTATCACTAGAAGTGAAAGCTTGTAACACTCGACTGTGCCTTTGTGTTCTGCAGGCTTACGTCGGCAATGTTAATGTAATTCTCGTACTCCTATTGTTAATTCAGCTTGCAGGGGACGTTGAACTTAATCCTGGCCCACTGACCGGTGATATAACTAATCGTGTCGATCTTCCATCTAAATACCAGGAGTGTCCGCAATAAGCAAAGGTATCTCACATAATATTTGTCTGAATATGATGTAGTTTGTTTCACTGAAACACATCTGGATGAATCTTTAGATAATGAAACTTTACAGTGGCAATCATTTCATGATCCAATACGGAAAGATAGAAGTGCTTTTGGGGGAGAGGTTATGGTGTTTACCACAAAGTGTTTAACATACAAGAGAATGCACGGGTTTACTCTCACTTTGCCAGCAGGCTGGGGATATTAACTTGTACGGTCCAGTGAGCTGCCAGCTATAGCCTGTCCTGATTATCTGAGCTCCTTGATGACTTAGCCGTGACCCACTGTGAGCCAAACTTAACTGATGAAGCGAACTGTGTTCAGCTTAACAGATATGGCTAAATTATTTGATGTGAACATAAATCACTGATTACTATACTTTTCCAAACAGACAAATTGAGTGAGTTTAAAATAACGGGTATATACACTGTACATATATGGAGGTGCCATTTGAGAATTTATTGCAAAATGGCAAATACACAGGTAAACGTTAAGTTCATCCCTAATTCGCGAGGTGGACAGAGTTTAGTGTATGGTGGACATGAGTTCAGAGTCAAGACAAGAAGACGAGACACAGTGCACTGGAGGTGTTATAAGGCTGGATGTCCTGTAACCATCAACACTGCCAACAATCTCATCACCACCTACATGAACATCCATTACCATCTTCCCGATGAAGCCAAGTTGAAAGTCGACGTCTCCCTTGCCTCCATGATAGATACAGTTCAAGTTCACCCTATGCCGGTGTCTAGTATCTATCTGGAGTTGGAAACTTTGCTGAATATGTCAGTGGGTAGAGGGTGGTGAAAGACTCATGTGGAACCACCATGATACCATCGGCCCTAGAACAACTAACCACGTCGAGGGATGGCATTCCAAGAACTAGAACTAGAAAATATTACTGATGAAAGTATATGGGTAAAAATATTTCTTCCTCAAGGGCCTTTATTACTCTGTGTTGTTTACAGACCAGAACACAATTCTTTACAGTTTCGGAGTCGTTTAGATAATTCTATTGAAGTTGCATTGGATATTTCTAGTAAAATAGTGATTGTCGGTGATTTAAAGGAAAACTTATTATCCAACAGAAAAAATCATATAAACGAAATGTTACACAGAAAAAAATGAAGGAATGTAATTGTTGAGCCCACCAGAGTGACTTCTAAATCTAGCACACTTTTAGATCCTATCAGTGTTAGTGAAGAAGTTGATGTAAAGGTCAGTGGTGTGATCGACTTCGATAGTACAAAATCTGATCACAGAGGTACCTGTATGGAAATGGACTCACACATATGCACTAAGATAGCTTATAAACGCAAGGTTTTATGTTATAACAAAGGAGACTTTGTTAAACTGAATGATCTCATATACATTACTTATTGGTCTGTATTATTTAATGAATGTAC